TTGTCGCCGGGGCGCCCCTGCACAGCCCGGAGTGGAGCGAGGAGCGCTTCCGCGTGGACAGGAAGAAACTTGAGGCCATGTTACAAGGTGGGCATCCCCCCGCGTTCTCGGACTCCCCGTTTGCGCCCCCCAACTCCTTTCGGGACATCCCCGTAGCGCGCCCCAGCGCCCGCCTCTCCGGCCCAGAACCGACTTCGTCCCCGGGTCCCCTTCCCCGCGGAGCCTGGGGACACCCGGGGAGTAGCGATCTAGCGGGACTCTCCACCCTCCCACGCCTCTCAGGTCTTTGGGCACCGGGAACCCTGTGCTAACTTGCCGGCTTCAGAGAAGCCTGAGGCCGGGTTTGTGCCAGCGCGCCCAAGTGGCATTCTGCACTTTGGAGATGCCAGCTTTAGCCCGGACACCTGGGCTGTGCCATCCGGACCCACTCAGACCGCACAGACTGTGTGTGATTCTCTCCCCACTCGCTGGCAGCTTTGAACCCTAGCTCTGTCTCTGTATGTTTCTCTCTTTCCTCTTGTCAGTATCCACTTCCTCCAGCTGAGGGGCCTTGTCTGGCTGGAAAACTCCCTGCAGATGTCAAGGCTTAAGACAGGAGTTCCCGCCCCCCATCCTCCACCCTGGAGTGAGAGGGGCCGGGATGGGGGTGAGCATCCAAAGCTGGGGCTTGTGTCAGGGCAGTGGTGCTGTGTTGGAGGACAGTGTGTGTTCATCTCCTGACAGCTTATAAAACACATCTTGAGCTACACTAAGTTCATAAAAATTTTCCTGTACTTTGGGTGTCTGACTATGTCTTTCACAACTTGTTTTTTTTTTTTTTTTTTTTTTTTTTTAACTCCCTAGTTTCTTTGGTACTTCCCCAGGCATCACAGCTTGAACCATGTTGGACTGGAAACACATTCTGTGTTTTAAGGGGAGGATTGGAGTTCTCAGAGTGATTGCTAAAATGTCCAAGGTCATTTTGCCCTTCTTAAAATGGTAATTACTAGCTTAACTGCAGCCATGGATGTGGCTTATTTCCTTCACGTGGAGTGATAGGCATTTTGAATGACTGTCGTACAGTACTGTAAAGGACAAGGCCTTAGCTTCACTAAGGGTGAGTAGTGGATTCATTCAGTAGCTAGTGTCCTTATAACAAGGGAGCATTGGAGCCTTCCAACTTTTTTTTTGTGTGGCTTTATGCATAACTTACTTTGACTTTATCAGTCAATGCATCGCAATATGGGAGCTATTTAGCCTCTGGAAATGCAGTGGCTTTTTAGAACATTTAAGCAGGTTATTTTAAGAGAGAACAACATGTTTTCCAAAACAATAACTTGGTGGAAACAAATAGCAGGAGTGTTTGGCAGACGTTTTTGGATGAGCTACAAATTCATCTCCCTTGCCGCTTATTTTTATTGATAAACATCCCTCGTGCTTGTCATGTCTCTCACTCTTCCTCTCTTTTCCCCCCTTAAATTATGTGACTTTAGGAGAGTTACTACTGCGATAAACGATTCAAATAAGAATATTGCCAAGTAGATCTGGAAATTAAAGCCCCAGTTGCATTTCGATAACCCATTTTAGTGATTTTGTTTGTTTTTATGAATTTTTTTGACCTAGTTTCTGGTTATAAAACAAAATGTTACACTTATTCAGAAAAAATATTGCTGCGTGATTGTTTGGATTTAACTGATAGACCACATATCCTCCTGTTCAACAAGTTTCCAATTTGTTTTCTGCATGAATTCGGAGTGATGGTGGTTCTTCTAATGATACTACATCTTCCTTACCTGTTTTTACCTGTGCACGTACAAATGACGACAGCGATGCTAGCTTCCAGGAAGCCCTCATGCATAACCTGAGCTTTAGAAGTGGATTCCTTTTTTGAAACAATTAATTTTCATTTAGAGAAAAATGAAATACAGATGAGGCTTTTAGAAATTTTTTTATTCGAAGGCTCTCCCCTTTGATACTGATATTCTGTCATGAGATGGTTTAGTATTGCTTTGCAGTGATACTTTTTTTTGTTTTTTGTGTTTTTTTTTTTTACAGAAAATCTTAACAGAGTTAACCACCCAGTATGTAATAAAATATTCACATTTCTTCACCAGCCAATATGTAATAAAATGCTCACAGTTTAACCCCAAAGAATTCTCGAATGATTGAACATAGTGCTTTAACTTTCCAAAATTACCAGTAAGTGAATTAAGCCATCGAAGAAAGTTTTGAACATGTTTGACAGTGAAACCAGTGCATAGTGTACCAGGCGTTTTGTGATGCATGGTTTCTAGTGTCACATTACATAGAACCACCATGTTTGAAGGGACAAGACCAGTTTTCGGAACCAAACATAATCATGTGCCTTACTGCCTTATACCAGATGGTTATAGTACATGTGGGCACTGGAATCACACAGACCAAGGTTCGATTAAATCCCTATGGGGCATTGGGACAGTTCCTAGGCCTCTATGTCAGTTCGCTCATCTGTAAAATGGGACTGAAATTAGTACCTTACCCCTAGGATTTTAAGAAGTAAAAGAGATCATGCCCAATAAGCTAAAACTGGTCACACTGTTTGGTAAATGATAAGAAATTAATATATATCAGTTTTGTTATTATTAATAATACATATTACAATATAGATTCAAAAGATTTCTAGTGCCTATCACAATTTCTGACATATATTATATACCTAAATAATGGGCCCAAAAGAATTTTGCAATTTCGTAATTGTAGAAATAAAATAGATATCAAGGTACCACTTTTCATTTGGGAAGTGCCAAGTAAGTGAAATTTGCATTCGGTTGGGTTTCTGATTATTGTGAATTTGGATTTGCCATTTTTCTTTTCACAGTTGCCTTAAACTATGTGCAGGTTTCCAATTTAAATCAGGATAAATAAGATTATCTGCTTTTAAGTCTACATAGTGGGAATTGGTGATTGTAATGCTTGGAATTTGTTTCCAGAGAGAGAGTGTCCTGGGGGCAAGTTAATCTTTAATGGGTTGTATTTTATTAGTAGAGAAATTCTTCTACGCAATGGACCAAAAATTCAGTGAGGTTAAAATATGGGCAATGGAGTAGTGGTCAAAGAAAGGAAATACTATTCTTGGATGATCACTAAATTCCCACAGATTTGATATACATAAAACTATCAGAGAAAAATCACTAGTGTTTCTTTTCTTCTTTTTATTTTGCTTAATAACTACCTTGGAATAGCCATACAGAGTATTGGACATTTTTGGTCAAACCTAAATGAGTAATAAAATTTATCATCTTCAACAGTTTTGTAAATGGGAACTTATTTTCAAGTTTAGTTAAGGCTTTGATGGGTATGTTTAGTATTGGGATAGATACCATGGACAGCATTGTTTAAGGATAAAGAAAAATTGTTTTTAATTTATTTAATATTGCTCTTCAAAATTTAGATTTTATGCTCTATGTGAGATCATAGTGCTGATTCATTTAAGTTAGTTAAAATGAGAGTTTTGAGATCAGAAATTTATTCTCGGGGGAAAATGGCGGAGGTATAAAGGAATATGTAAAGAGGGAGGAGAGGTATAGGGGGAAGTGTGGGAGAGGTAGAAAATAAATGGGTCAAGAGTCAGAAATAGTCTTAGCTTGCCAGAGTCCTGAGAGGCAAAATGGACTTTGTATACTTTAACTCTTCTTTTTCATTTTCAGTCGTTGTTTACATCTTACGGTTACGCTTTTCTTTTTATGTTGAAAAAACTTGTGTACAGTACAATGAAAAATTCCTACATCAAATTCAGAAGCCCAGGAATTTTCAAAGTTCTGAATCCCTTGAGATTCATCATAGAAAGAAGGAAGTGTTAAAAGGGGGGAAAATGTTCTATTTTCATGAATTGAGGTTGACATCTGCTGGGCTTTTTGGATATTGCTGTTAATGACTTTAAAAACCATGTTGGGTTTTTATAATAGCAGGCACAACTGGGGTCATTTTTTGCTTGCTTGAACTAGCCACTGAGACAGCCTATCACACATTGGCTAGTAGAGCAGCAGTTGTCTCTTCAATTTGACAAACTTCAGTGAAGATTGTCATATGATTGGGTGAATACTCTCAGATCTTCTCCTGGGAGTAGGGAGAATTAAACAAAAAGAAATGACATTGGGAGTACTGGAAATGAATATAAATAAAAAGTAAGCTTACTATAGTTTTTTAAGCTAATGTTTGACTAATGCTAATACACAACAAGAACAAATTACTTTATGAAGCTTAGTGGTTAAAAATACAGGGCTATGGGCCAGACAAGGATTTGAATCTTGTTGTTACCTTTCATTTTTTTATTTTATTGTTATTATTTTGTTATTTATCACCTGAGGATGTTTTTTTCATTGATTTTTGTTTTTTTTTAGAGAGTAGAAGGGAGGGAGGGAGGAAGAGAGAGAGAGAGACATTAATGTGAGAGAGATCCATCAAATGGTTCCCTCTGCCCCAACTAGAGACCCAAATGTGTACCCTTGATCAGAATCGAACCTATGACCCCTTTTTTTAAAATTAAAAATATATTTTATTGATTTTTTTTACAGAGAGGAAGGGAGAGGGATAGAGAGTTAGAAACATCAATGAGAGAGGAACATCGATCAGCTGCCTCCTGCACACTCCCCACTGGGGATGTGCCCACAACCAAGGTACATGCCCTTGACCGGAATCGAACCTGGGACCCTTGAGTCCGTAGGCCGACACTCTATCTGCTGAGCCAAACCGGTCAGGGCGAACCTATGACCCTCTGGTTCAAAGGCTGACACTCTAACCAATGAACCAAACTAACCAGGGCTGGGCGTTACCTTTTAATAGGGAGCTAGGGAAAATTCATCACCTGCAGACTCATTTCTAAAAGGAGGTGTTGATAATAGTGCCTGCATCCTTAGGTAGTTGTGATAAGAGAATAAAGATGTATGTAAGACATCACAGTGCTGGCCACATAGGAAGTGCTGAATACATTAATAAAACCATATTCACTATAAACTATAGTTCATAAAATTCACATTCTTATATTGAAAATGAAAATCAAATATATTGAAACATGAATTAAGTGGCCTTATGATAAAATGGACATTCACAGCTCTCAAAACATTATTATT